CTGGGAAATAGCCACCACCTTCCTATTCTCTTTAATGCCACCTCTATTACCTCGTACAAGATAAATGACTTTATCTCGAGGAAAAAACTCCTAAATAATCTTATTCATGTATGTCTTGAGCCACAGGTCGAATCTATCCAGTGCTCATTTCAACAAGAAATAATTAACGCCAAATCCGACATCCAAACCTCGAATTCCTACTCACCAAAACCTTGGTGGAACGAGCTGCTCACTTCACAATTCCGTAGATTACAGGCTGCTAAACAAAAATTTTCCAAATGCCCCAATATTTCTAATTTTGAAGATTTCAAATTATCACAAAAAGAATGGAAGAAATCGATTAGAAAAGCCAAAAGATGCCACCGAGCCCTCGTTATCGAAGAGCTGTGCTCAAATAGCAATACAAAGCCATTCTGGAAATTTTTAAATGGTCATCGCACCACAAAAAAGAAATACAAACACCCATTTGGGATGATCTCAACAACAAATCCTACCTTGAATGGCTGAAAGCTCAAGTTCCCTCGACATGTGGTCTCCAAACCTCCTTACTTAACTCTCGGATGGAAAACATCTCTCCATTCTCCCTTGATGAACTCATGCACGTCCTTAAGTCGAAAAAGAAGTCCACAGCAGCAGGCCATGACGGAATCAAATATGAAATGATAAAGGTCCTTCCCATGCCAAGCCTTCTAACCCTGCTATCTGCTATAAATGAGCGCTGGATGACCAACTCGTTTCCCACCGTTTGGCGTACAATTAAAATAGTGCCCATTCCTAAACCCGAAAAAGATCTTGAAATATTCACTAACTTCAGACCCATATCCCTCTTGCCTGTTCTTCTAAAAATTACCAACCAAATGATTAAAGAAAGACTAACAAAATTCCTGAATCACTCACACCTTCTCCCGTCAAGGTCCTTTGCTTACCAAAAAAATATCTCCACCGGTATGTGCCTTAATGAAGTCCTTTTCACAATTGCAAATGAAAAAGCAAATGAAAACCAGGTAGTCATGCTTTGCTTAGACATTAATAAAGCTTACGACTGTGTAAACTTAGCGAAACTGGACCAAATTCTATCTGATTTTAAAATCCCGACACAAAATAGGCATTAGGTTCTCAACTTTCTTTCCTCGAGAACTCTCGTATTAGATTCACATACAGTCGAAGTTTGTGGAGGCTTACCTCAAGGTAGCTGTCTCAGCCCAGTTCTCTTCAATTTATACACAGCCGGTTTACATCAATTACAGGGCAATTCTACCCATTCATTTCAATATGCTGACGATTTCCTCATCATCTCTGCTGGAAAATCATTAATGGAAGCAGTCCGTAACCTCGACACTAAAGCCAATCTTTTTCACAAACTTTGCGCAGACTTAAATCTAACTTTCAACCCGGAAAAATCAAAAGTCATTCGCTTTGCTAAGGGTCCCAAAAAAATTTTTTACATTACAATCAATGGTATAAAAATCAGTCCGTCTTCCTCTTTTAAATTTTTGGGCAGAATAATCAACTCAAGTGTAACCACGCATGAGCATTACAAGGATAGCCTCGAAAATTGCAACACAGGCTCAAATGTCATCAAACTTCTGACCAACATTCACACCGGACTCCCACCTAGGAAAGCATTAAACGTTTACAAATCTATTGTTAGATCCAAAATTGAATATCCCTACTCTACATCGTGCAACGCTCCTGCGTATACGTTAAAAAAAACACAAACCTTTCAACACTCAATCCTAAGACGTTGTACCGATTTGTCCCCCTCAACACCAACATCAATTTTACGTTCCATCTCTTATGAACTCCCCGTTGCTAAGAGAATTTATCTTGTAACTGCAAAAGAGCTTCTCAAGGTAAAAATCTTCAAACCTGCCTTCTTTGACGAGGTCGCTTCCAGACACAATCATGTCATCAGTAGTTACTCTAACTGCTTCAAAAAATTCAGTAACATCTTCAATAAAGTTAACTCAATACCCTCCTGGAATAATATTGTTCATGATAAATGCGTAGTTGAATTAAACTTACTTAATTCAATCACCAACTCAAAAAAAATCGATCAGGGTCTTGTCTTCGAATCGCTTGTCTGCAAAAACTTAACCACTTCGTCGAAAATAACTTCAAAATATACGCAACGGATGGATCTATCAATTCGGACATCTCTAGTTTTTCAATTATTGAATACCCAAACTTACTTATAGGAAAATTCAAAGTTCTACAAGAACAATCATCCACTTTCATTGAACTTCTGGCCATCAGACAAGCAATCATCCACGCATCTGAAATTAAGCTGAAAAAATTTGTAGTTTTCTCTGACAGCAAATCTGCTCTAATTTTAATCAAGAACAAAGACCCATTCAATAAGTATGTCTTCGATATCTACAACCTTTTAAAAGACCCAAGTATTGAAAAATGCCACATCATCTGGATCCCAGGTCACTGCGGTTTTAGTATCAATGAAAAAGCTGACTTCCATGCTCGTCAAGCTAGGTTCCATGGTACAGTTTTGTCCATAAACTACCCCCCCAGCGAAGCTTTTCTGCTAGTCAAAAAACTCATCATAAAAGAATGGAAAGATGAGTATCATGTTTTAGCTAGAGAAAAAAGTGACCGGCTGTTCTACAAAATTTGCCCTTTTTTGACACCCACGCTTCTACCTAAAGGAAAATTCACAACATAGGAATTTAAAGTTCTTCACCGTCTTATGAGTAATCACACCTACGACAAGGTCTATTTTAAAATGATCAAAGCCTCCTCCTCTGACATCTGTGAGTATTGCAATATTACTGAGTCTGCCGAGCACCTTATTTTTGAGTGCAGGAGGTTTGACATCCTTAGACAATCTTTCAGTATATTTAACCTGTATAACAATCTATATGAAATTTTTCGTGCTGGTAACTTTAGGCATTTGAAGCAACTGACTGCCTTTATCAAATCAGCTGAGTTTTCATTCTAATTTTACATTTAGTATTTCTATTACAATCACGAATCGCCTACACTTTTTCTTTTATCGGCATTATTAGCCGTACCTTGACAGTACAATACCAAGTACGGTGATTTATGGATTGACAGCGGAACAGAGCCTCTCATTGCGAACACTCTGCCACATCAGTCTACCTATGCTTAAATTTTTTCATCGCTCTCAACTTCGTTTCTGGATTATGGATCTAACATTAACTTAACTGGTCCAATCCATCTCTAAACAAACAAAAAAAAGAAAAAAAAGAAAGCTAACAACCAATTTATAAAAAATAATTTTTTTTGATCTTCATAATCTATTTAAATTTTATGACACCATCTAGAACCTTTTTGCGTATAATTAATACTAATAAACCGATTTCAACTTCAAAGTGAATAGTTTTATTGGAAAATTGCAAATCGCATAATATCAAAAAATAATTTACATTAGTTTGACCAATAACCTTAGAATATAAAAGAAAGCATCATCATTTATTCTAGTGCTTTTTTCCTTTTCGTTTTATTTGTATGTATACATTTAAAGCCATATGGTTTATCAATTCTTATACAGTTGTGCAAAAAATTAGCCAAGTTGCAGTCCCAATTTGAAAATAGTAATTACGTGTGATTGTGTCAGCCTCGATATAGATTCCTAAAAAAACACCATTACTGTAAAGCAAGCACACAATTTATTTTTTACTATTGGCTTCGAAGTGGTCGCTCATTTACTTACTCTCTAAAGTAACAAAATTCAAAGTTCAAATACATTGCAACAACTGGTACACAAAAAACAAAATAGTGAAATTAGCAAAAACCAAAACATTGTGTTTTCTCTTTTCTCCTTAAATTGTTTAACAGTTGCTGATGAATTTTTAAACAATGAAGGTTCTGGACTGATGGAAAATTTCGTGGCACCCTTTCTGGACAATGGAAAACATTGAAGGTAAAGTTGCCGCAATGGACCAAATAAGCTGCGGGTTCTGCTATATATGCCAATATGCTTATCAAGAAACTAAACAAAAATTAAATGAAATTAAATGAAAAATATCAGCAGAATCGTGAAATGTTTCTTTCTTTAGTAATGGATACGCCATCTCTTCGAAATATTACACTGTCTTTTATTATTTATATTAATTTTGTCAATGTGTAAAGCAGTTCAATTAATGTCAAAATTTGAATAAATATTGCAACTATATATAAATCGTATAACTATGTGTAAATCATTTAGCATTTAAGATTTTACCGGACCAGATTTTGGAATCATATATAGCCGCGCCAGTTAGTTGAGTGTACTCTACAATTGCTTCCAACTCTTCCTTATTTGTGGGATATGAATGGTTAGCAAACGGTATTTGTGGGACATGAACGGTTAGCAGAATTAGCTGTTTGTAAAAATTAATGCTTTATTTGAAATTCAAAAAAAAGCAACAGCAATCATTCAATCATCCTTTTATATATGTTTTTTTTTTATATACATTTATTTAATATAAAATGAAAATAATTTTTCTAATCTTTTACTTGAACTTTATACTTCTTTAATTGAATATTTTCTCAAGGTAATTGAATAATCAATATTTTCTAAGTGCAAGCTAGTTGTTAGTTTAACTACAGCCTTATTATATAGATCAATTTAGTATACCTTCTATTTCACCCACCGTAGAAGCTTTTATCATAAAATTAGTTCTATTTGATTTTTACTACATAATCTCAGAAAATCTGCATGAGCTCCACAGTGCCTTCTTATGTTTTCGAATATTGTCTCCAGGACATACTGTCTAAATTTTCGAGATAACATATTTGTGGCCTTGTTCGATTGTTATTTTCAACATCCGGTAAATCGCATACAATCGGTTTTCATAAGTTATCGTACATGATATTAAACATATTTTTTACCAATGTCTTTTTTCAACACAAAAGAAAAATATGGCGATAGTGATATAAAATGCAAGAAAGTAAAAAGATCTCTCTTTCGTCTTCGGTCAAGCAGCAGCTGTTAACGAAATGTATGTTTAATAATGATGACCGGTATATATTTTATAAACAAAAAAAGCAGAAAATGTCTTTTAGAGAAATTTTTAAAAAGATAAAGAAAAATAAAAATTTTATGTATGGTGTGCCATTCTTAATTTTAATGGTCGCTGGCTCTTTTGGTCTTCAGAAATTTTCCGAGTTAAGGTTACTTTTATTGATTCACGTGATATAATTTATAAAATTCATTTGCTCTCGTGCTATTTCATTAGATATAAATATTCCCGGCAGCAAACTATTACGCCAGAAGAAATGGAGTTGATCGGTGTAAACATGAAGAAGCCCGAGGACGTGACTATAGAAAGGGAATTTGAAAAAATCACAAAGCTTGACATTGAAAATTGGGAGAACATTAGAGGACCGAGACCTTGGGAGGAGAACGTAGATTAACTTATTTTACTTTGTGTAAACTGCAGATGCTAAATATATTGGCATTACTGAGTAAAGAATCACGAGATTTCCAAAGATGCGGATTATCTTAAATTTTCGTTTGATGCTTTCAATACAATTTTTAAGTATAAGTTCAAAGATTAAAGTCTTAAAGCAGTCCGCTGTTATCATATGGAAGATCCATGATGCTTATTCAATCTTCTTATTTTATTGCATTTTCTAGAAGAAGAGTTATTACCGAGGGATTTATATAAATACTGAGTAAGATGTTGATGAAGTCATTGTTTTTGTTATATAGCAAGTCTATTGAACCGAAAGTCCAAGGCCTTCGGAGAATATACTGGTGGATTTATTAAATCAATATCAATTGATTTATGAAAACATTTCATAAATCAACATTTTAATAAATCAATATCAATTCATTTCTTAAAACATTTCCATCAACGCAGCTGCTTTTCAGTTTTTCATTTTTATCAACTCTTTTTATATCCACCACTATATATATGTATAATCGTTTTGTTTTCTTTTCATAATATATGTAGCACAAAAAAGGAAGCTGCAGAGACTACAAAGTATATGTATTGTTAATCAGCGTGAAATTCTAAGTTGATTTCGCCATGTCTGTTCGTCTGTATGGTGTGTTGTTGACGCTCTTCTGGTCGCAAAAACGAACATATCAACTTGAAATTTGATAGCAGCATTGGAAGTTTCTGCACGCAGGTTGGTATTGAAAATGGCCCAAATCAGTCAGAATAGAAGCCCGCAGTGGACCATAAACTGAAAGCAACCCTGCATTTCTTATAAAAAATTTGTGGGTTTTTGCTCGTGACTCAGAAATTTTAAAAGTTAGAAGATTGAAATTTTTCGCATTTACTTTCCAAAGATTCTATTCTCTATGTGTAAAAACCGAAAAAATCGGCCATGTCCACACAAAATTACAATTGATTAAATTTTTTTTTGAAATTGCATGCCAATTTATCATAAAGGAAACAAAACAGAATGCAAAAATGACAAAAGCAATAGTAATAAAAAATATAAATAAGAAGAGAATTAGTAAGTATTTCAAGGTTAAATCGCACGCTAAGCATACAAATCGATGATCTTTTAAATTATTAATTATACCTACATTTTCCTTTATACAGAGGTGGTCACAACTTACATGTTCATATTATACTTATTGGGATTCTAATTAGACATCAAAAGCCATCAAACCATAATCCACGTCACAGAAAGGATACATCCAAATCAATAAACATATATTTAGCAGCGAGTCTGAGTTTGGTGACAATTGAGAAAGAATTGAAAGAGCAAGTCTGTATTTGGTGACGACCTGCTACGGAAACATAAAACGCCACCATTTCATATTAACATAACAGAGTAACGTTGTCAGTGGTAATGTCTGGTGTATTTTTCATTTTTAATAGTATTTACGATTCCATTTGATTAGATGTCACCCTGATAAGCATATTGCAACCAGTACGTGGCTTGTTTACAGAACAATATGCATCTTTCTACTTCCGGGAATATGGACGATCAAACTATTCATTTGTTGTTGTGTTTTAAATAAAGCTACGGTTGCTTTGCTATGCTTGGCCGCTAAAATATAAATCTAAATGACAAGAAACTAATTTAATGTAACCACCTTACGTAATTTTAATAAATATATTGTAACAAATTTATTTTGAATGTTGTAAAGAGTGGATATAAATGTAATCTAGATTATTATATTATTATTGTAGACCGATGAGTGGAATAAGAAAGCAGCGGGCGCTTGTTTTTTTGTAATTTTGTGTATCTACACTTTCTGAATTTACCCCAATATTCAACAGCACTTTTGTATAGTTCTTGATAAATAAATTTGATAACGATTTCAATAGTTTTTTTACTTTTAATTTCTAACTGCAGTTGACATCGACTTGTGTTCTGAGTAGTGCGTGTTTTGTTTTTCGTCTGCGATTTTTTAATTGTTTTCGGTGTTTTCGTGTGTTTAACTCGTGTGTTTCCTGAGTTTTTGCAAAAACTAATTATCGCAGATACGATATTTGCTTCGTTTTCTGTAAATATAATAAAAAAAATAAAAAAAACAGAAAACATTAAAGAAAAACAAAATATTGAAAACAATTGTCATTATCCTCAGCAGTTCCCAAACCTTCTCGAGTGAGTGGTTATTTCAGAATTTACTAAATAATAGACAACCATAAGGCATAATGACCCCGAGGCCGCGAGATAAAAACTCAAACAGATTTCATCTACTAGCGGACGTATCCCCCCAAAGAAAAAAATTTAAAAATTCGGACTTTCCGGTGTTGCCAACCAGTAGCATCATTCCTATTGACAAAAAATATGTTGTGATATCTCTAACTGATCCTTCCATAACAATTTCGCAAATCAGCCCTTTTGCTATTAAAAAAGCACTAGATAGCATTACAACATATAAAGACTCTATATCGATTCTACGCGATGGGAACTTACTTGTCCTCGCTGGGAAATCGCGCGCAATCCAAAACCTCATAAAATCGAAACCATTAGCTAATTTATGTGCTATATCCGCTAAACTGTATGACAAACTGAACTCGGGTAAAGGCGTAGTTTACGCCCCATGCTTAAATCATGTGCCGGAAGATGAAATTGTTCGCGAAATGGGCAGTCAAGGAGAGACTGAAGTCTATAAATTCACTAAATTAAATGACGATGGAAAAACCCGCTCCCCTACAGGCAGAATTATTTAGTCTTTTGATCGCTATCGGCTACCGGCAACGGTTGATGTAGCTTGGTACAAACGTAAGGTAGAACTCTACATTCCAAATCTCATGAGGTGTAAAAACTGCCAACGCCTAGGTCATACGGCAAAAAGAAGCACGAGTCCTCTAAAGAGTTGGTGTTTTTATAAAATTAACTATACCTCACAAGCGCATACATTTGAACCCATACGCACAAGTCGTAGCGATACAAATAACCTTAAACATAAAATTTCCAGTACAGTATATCCCACCTTCGCAATCGTTTTCTCAGCAAGAACTCTACGATTTGTTCTCCGTTCTTTCCTCCCCATTAATTATATGCGGCGACTTTAACAGCTGGAATACCGTCTGGGGCTCAACAGTGAACAACAGTCGCGGTACTGTTTTAGAAGAGGCCTTCATTGAACGCATTCTCTGTATTTTAAATGGTGGAAAACCAACGCACTTTTCAACTCATCACACCTTTTCTCATATTTATTTAACATGTTGCTCTCCGTCTCTTCTTCCTTTAGTTTCCTGGTCTATTTGTGATGACCTACATAATAGTGACCACTTTCCAATCATAATCGATCTTAAACTTTCATAGTCCTCTATTACTCCAGCAAAACAGGCCAAATTCCTCCTAGATAAAGCGGATTGGATCAACTACTCCAAACAGGTGGAGTCATTTTTGAATTCAAAGCCATTTAACGGGAACTGCAACCATGATGCTGCTATTATGTCTAAAGCGATACGCACGACTGCTCATCTTTCTATTCCTCAATCCGACACCTCTTTTAAACGAGGTAGTCTTCCTTGGCGGAACAACAGGCTTTCGTTTTTAAGGAAAAATAAAATGAATCTATGTCGAAAGCAGATATGCGATGCGGGAAATCTACTGATGCACATTAATGACATAGCAGTACTAAACGTGCAGACGCTGCATATTCTCGGGCTCACGTTTTCCAACTAATATCGTTGGAAAGCGCACTGTCTTCGGTTAAAAAATTCTATTTTATCAAGAGTGAATTGCATACAGTACGTTGCTTGGAAAAGCCATGCGCACATTAACACTATTGCTTATCTTAACAAAGTGCTTGTGTTAAGCAAGGTTGACTATGCTTTGATAATTTGTGGCAATAGCTGCAAATCTAATATCAACATCCTTAAACCGGTCTACCACCAAGTAGTCAGAGCAAGTTGTTATACTTTTCGGACGACGCCCATAAATAATATTATAATCGAAACTGGTCTCCCAACATTAGAAAATAGGCCACAAGTTTCTTAATTCAAACAAATCTATTCTCGGTGATGACGTGAGAAAGATTATTGTTGCGAAGAAAATTCAAAAGTCCCATTTGCAATTGACTATTGTTTGTATGAAGCAAAGGAATTGGACATTCCTTTAAAAATTTACCATTATTTTGGTGTTAAATCTCCATGCATTTTGAAATACTGCTCTTTTGACATTTCGCTGTCTAAGCACAAAAAAGAAGATACTACAAATTACGTCTTCAGGAATCCAATAGCTGCAAAAAGCCAAGTACTGGAAAGTACCGGTTGGAATCTTCTATACACAGACCGCTCAAAATCTTCTGGTCTGCCTCCTGCTTGTGTCGTGGCAGATGCTACAGGATAGGTTCTTCTCAATCACATATTCCACGAAAGTACTTCAACTTTCACAACTGAAGCCAGATCTATTCTTCACGCAGTTTGTCTGTATTACAAGCTATTCGGAATCCTTCGACTTCGAGATGGAGCACCATCAACAAATTAAGGAATTTAATAACAACACCCCCGAGGGAAAAACTAAAATGTTATGGGTACCAAGTCACATTGGTTTATTGGGAAATGAGCAGGCTGATCGAGCGGCAAAGTATGCTGCTTCTGCTCCTCTAATTATGGATGATGTCATGGAAAAGTTGGATCTTCAAAGATACATTGGAAGAAAAGTTAAAAATAAAATTGCAGAACGAAATTTACAATTCCATCATCAACACTACTCTTCCATTAACCCTCAATTAACTCCACTTTTATATTCAACAAATGTTGAGAAAATCATGATCCAAACATTTTCGAGAATTCGCCGTGGTCATACAATTGCAACTCACCATTGGATCTTGAAGAAGTCTTCCTCTCTAATCTGCAGTTGTGGGCAAACTCTCATTATAAAGCACATTCTCTGCGACTGACTTAACTTCTCCTTGGCTAGAAGTATTACATTTGGATCGATTAACCCTTTGGACATTCTAAAGTCAGCTTCAGAACAGAATATCAATTCAATATATTACTTTATTAATACTACTAAGCTCAATACCTAATGCAAATTTATTTAAATTAGAGCCGATAGCCTGTGTTGCTAGCATTCCAAATCCTTAACTAACGTGCTCCAAATTTAAAGCAAAGTTATTATTATTATTATCCACACGACTTTACATAGAACCCATCACGAAATGATTGTGTATAAGAAAGAAGAAGAATGATGGGAAATTAATAAATTGTTGTTATCGTTTGTATCATGATCTTCAAGATGACAAAACTCACATTTTTCAATATGCAGACGATTTTCTAATCGTATTTGCGGACTCATCTTTTCCAGCAGCCGTCAATAACCTCTCGATGAAAGCGAACTTGTTTTTCGATGCATGCGCTGATCTTAATTTATATTTTAACCCCAGCAAGACAAACACTATTTATTTTGCCAAAGGTTCTAAACGTGAAATCAGACTTCTTATCAAAGGTACCCAAGTTAATCAGGGAAAATCTTTTCGATTTCTTGGGAGAATTTTAAATGACAGCTTAACCCTTCGTGGGCATTATGAAAAGGCGTTCAAAGATTGTCAGTCTGGATGCAACATCATCAAACACATGACAAACAATCAGGCAGGCTTGCCTCCCAAAAATGCTTTGACCGTTTACAAATCTCTAGTCAGGTCCAAAATTGAATTTGGACATTCCACATGTTGCAATTTCCCAAAATATATTGAGGAACGTATACAAGCATTTGAAAACCGAATGTTGAAGCGTTGTACTGGACTGACCCCCTCAACTCCTCAACATATTCTCAATGTCATATCTGGTGAATGGCCGGTTTCCGAAAGAGTCCTTTTTTGCACTGCCAAAGAGTTAATTAAAGTCAAGATGATAAATCCTTCCTTTTTTCAGGAAATTATATCTCTCAGTGATACTGTCACTTGCAGCTATACTTTTTGCTATCAAAAACTTCGTCATATTTTTGATAAGTTAGATTCAATTCCCCCCTTGAATTTCATTACCAGCAAATGCAGAGACTTCATGAACATTCTCGAATCGATCTCTACCTCAAAACAAAATGTCAGCTTTTCTTGTATAAGGTTGTTATGGCAAGAAAAACTCCTTTTTTATTACAACAACGGATACGATATATATGCCACTGACGGTTCCGTCGGACATAATGTATCTGGCTTCTCGGTCGTGAAACATCTATCTGAAACAGTACTTCGAGTCAAAGTGGAAGAGGAACTTTCCTCTAAATTTATTGAGTTGCTCGCCATTCGACATGCTATCATGGTTGCTATTTCCGATGGTATCAGACGTTTTGTTATTTTTTTCGACAGCAGGTCTGCTCTACTTCTAATAAATAAAAGAGACGGAGAAAATCAATATGTGTTTGATATTCAGAAGACGTTGCACGAATCTCAAGTGATGACTGTCACCTCGTTTGGGTACCTGGCCACTGCGGCTTTTTTTAAAATGTAAAAGCCGACTTTCATGCAGGGAGAGCTCGTGTTGATGGGACAATTTTGTCCATCAAATATACTCCCAATGAAGCAATTCGGGCATTTCGCAACCACATCCTTCAACAGCTAAACGACGAATTTGAAGAAATCGCGCGCGTTAAATCCAATCGTCTTTTCTATAAATTAAATCCCACATTTCAATTCAAACCCTTCTCTGTATCTTCTTTTAATTCCTGGGAAATCAAAATTCTTTATAGACTCATGAGTGGTCATACTTATGACAAAGTTTATTTAAAAATGATTCGCGTTATACCATGTGATGTTTGTGAAGTTTGCAATGTTGTTGAGTCTGCTGAGCATCTAATCTTCAGATGTCACAGGCTTGATGGCATTAGAGATTCCTTTAGCTTCTTCAAGTTATATGACTGTCTCCTCGATCTCTTTGCAGCAAAAAATGTACGTCATCTCGGGGAACTAACTTGCTTTATTAGAAACGCCAATTTATCCTTTTAGAATATTTCTTTTTCCTCTACTTTCCTTTTTTTTCCTTCTTTTTTCTTTTTTTTTTTTGCGTTCAATCATTTTCTAGTACCATTCCTTTTCGTTTTCAGCCAAAGTTTTCAACACTGTCTGACTTTCAAGAACTCAACAAGCACATTTACACACACACATACAATTACATTTAACATGCTAACTCCAGTTATTACGGCCGCTCTTTTTCTTTTTTTGTTACGTTTTATACATAATCGTGACTAAAAATTACTACAGTTTATTATCTGGACATATAAGCCACAAATCTATTGGCTTAGTCCCTCTCCGTTCAACATACCAAAAAAAAAAAATCGTTTGTATCATTGCAAAAATGATTGAATGATTTTTAATTTTCTTAATCGCACATTATCAACATGTCATTGAATTCAGGTGGTTGAATATATAATTTTGCGGTTACTGATCATCAAACTCATAAGGGAGGATGTAAGTTTTCCTACCGACGTAATTTTTTGGCTTCCTAAAATTGATTTATTTTGTTATGTTTTATTTTTTAGGTATTTCCGCGTTCTGAGCCTAAAGCATTGACTCTTTTATATGTATAGAAACGTTTTCATGATGTAAAGCGCCTGCATCGCGAACTGAAAAAATGGCAAAAAGGTTTAACTGGACAACTTTCTGAACCTGCAGACGCAGAGTGCAGTTACTTTAAACGGAAAGCGAAAAGAGTACATATTAAAATTACTAGATTTTGCCGCATTGCATCCGCCTTTTTACAAATGGCATGCTTTTGCTCAATTTTTTAGTGAAGTAACTTCTTCAAAAGCTCAGTGTACAAGACATATACCTAGTATACAGCCAAAGGAAAATGTAAACGTAAACAAAATTCAATCCGCCATTTTATATAGATGTGCGATACATAGGAATTGGAGCTGAAGTCAAAACAAAAGCAGATGACGTTTATTTTGATAATACAAGAAATAAAGCTAAAAATACTGACGAATAACGATGTCAGTATTGAAAAGATTAGTAGGACGTCATGTCTTACGTCTATGGCTTCCATAGAAAGCGATGATAGTGATCATATATGTGAAGCAGCTCTGGTATTAAGTCGCGCTGTAAAAGCTGAAGCCAACCATCTTTTATTAGCGGATTCTAAGGACGATAACAATGAGGAGCGTAAATTTATAGCCAAATCCAAAATAATTAAATATTTAGTAAGGGCAGATGATATAAACGAGAAATTCTTAAAGAATCCTAATAGAAATGTCAGCTGGCCATCATTGGGAAATGTATAATTAACTATTGACGTAGGCGGCAATGCCGATGTTAACACAAAAAGCTATTATCTAGAGAGACCGTGGAATCATGTGGCCAAGTATAAGGTATAAGGTATTAGGTGTGTTGGGTGAGAAAGTACTCGTGCAATGTATAACTAAAATGCAGAAACCGCAGTTCGTAATGAAAGGTATAGAGAAACCGTCAAGTAAATCGCCGACACAAAGTATCCTTGTACCAACACATATACGGTATATGGTAGACTTAGTAGCTTTCTTCAAAAACGAGCAGAAAGTCTTCCTTTTACTTAAAGCTGCTCAGGGAGGGCGATGGTTGATTTATATTTACAATTATGAAAGTAATTGTAAAAAATCAGAAAGCATGGATACATTTTTGCGGAACTAAACAATGAAAATATTCGAAATAACCGTAGTAACCGAGGAGATGAAGAAAATGGAAATTCTTCTACGGAGATGGAAGATATACTTAGAAAATCTAAACAGTTACTAAAATCAGTTAAATAAGTTCAGTTCGCGTGTTTTCCAAAACACTAAACACATGAAAACAAAGCCACAAAGTCAAGGAAAATGAATCTGAAACAATCAGGAAACCATTAAAAAGAATAACAATTTCTTTTATATATATATATATATTTTTATACATATTAATAAAGTGTTTTAAATGTATAATAAA